GTAGCGTCCCTCGTGATCGAACGCTAAATGTAGCGGCGCCATAGCGGCGCAGCATGTAGGAGCAGCTCAGAGGGGCGGCAGTAGTGGCAGCAGTAGCAGCAATAGCAGGAGCAGCAATATCAGTAGCAGCAGTAGCAGCAGCAGCAATAGCACGCAAGAAGCGGCGTGCGGGGAGTGGGTTCGACGTGCCGGGGCCTAGGGGCGACGGGCCGGGGCCTAGGGGCAACGGGCCGGGGCCTAGGGGCATCGGGGCCGAGGCCCTCGGGCTAGGGTCGACGGGGCCGGGGTGCTCGAGCTAGGGACGACGGGGCCAGGGCACGGGGGCTAGGGTCGACGGGGCCGGGGCGCGCGGGCTATGTGTTGGGTGCAATTTCACATTGCACGACATCCTGTCGTCTGTTTGTACGAATATGCGTGTGCGAATGCATTTGGGTGTGAATGGAATGTTCGTGTGTTTGTTTGTTTTCGCAATTTTCGCTTGATGCATTTGCAGGTACTCGCGCAATGTGCGCTTCGGCACAACATTGTACGCGCTATGAATAGTGCAAGCAGAAAGGACGAGCTCGCAAAGGAACCCAAGATGGAAGCTTTGCAGTTCGGTTTAATTGATTGCGCAGATTCAGTTCTATCCAACTCGAACTTGTACTGTTTTGTTTGGTTGACTATAGTGTAGCAGGGCAGGCACTATAGGGGTACAATTTAGGTGAAGGTTGGATGTTGTTTGTCTGTATCTGCATGCTACAGGGCCAGGGGAAACCAGCGGAACCAACATTTGGCTGGTTGGGCAAAGACAAAACAGGTTCTGTTTTTAGGACCTGAACCTGGTTGTTGTTTTCCCAGGTTGGAAAAACAGAACCAGAGGTTGTTTACCAACCTACCACCTGCTGTTTTGTCCAGCCAGGTTGGTTCTGTTGCTTGGAATCATTTGGGATCATCCATGGTTGTTCCCAGGTTGATTCCCAAGGTCCTTGCTAGCTAGAACTATATATTCCTTCTCTGTTTGTACCCGAATATATTCAATTTGATTCAAGCGAATTCCTTCCTTGCTGGAATTTTGTTTTCTATGCGGTGCGACGGCGGAATGCTACCGAGTCAACACTAGTACGCTAGCACCTCAACGCTAGGCAAACGCTGTCCAAGCCATAACTCTGCAATGGCAGAACTTTTCGCGAGGCAACTTGGCTCTTTTGAAAGCTCTTAGGGTGAGCTTCAATATAGCGAGTTCTCAGCTTAATCCGATCGACGGTCTGCACGGCACGCTGCGCAATGTTCAAGGTACTCTTGCTGTTTTGACTAAGTCCCTCTTGATCCCTCTCTCTACAAACTCGGACCCGAGGATAGGGGCTGATCTTGTACCAAGCACCCAGGGACCCTTGGAGGTGACCCCGAGGAGAGGTTTTAAGTTGGATAACGTCTTAATAGCCTGAGTTTATTAGGCCCTTACACCAACAAGCTGGTATCAGAGCTGCGTTATAATGATCATCGTTATAGGTAGCTATGGCGGGAAATACCTCGGCGGGAGCTGGTGAATCTTCAGCCCAAGATCATAGCGGCAGCCAGGATTCTGGTGTTTCGGCGCCAAGGGGAGCGCGAACAAACCAGGGCTCGCTGATCAAGGAGGTGCTGAAAAACTTCACCGTCGAGAAGTTCAATGGTGAGGGCTATGATGATTGGGCATGGAAAATGCAACTTTACTTCCGTCAGATTGGTTTGTTGAAACTTATGATTGGGGAGGTGCCTAGACCGAGTGACCCCGCGCTGCAGGAAGATTGGGACGAGCGCGCCTCGGCTGGCTACTACTTGATGTCCCAGAGTTTGGAGCTGAACCAGCGTCACCACGTCATGCACCTGCTGCCGGAGGTTGATTGCGGTCCGAAGGCGTGGACGGTGTTGAAGGAGCTGCACGCCCCGACCTCCGTTGTCGCAACGTTGATGCTGGAGAGGGAGATGTCCGCATTGCGCTTGAGCAAGGGAGAGCCGGTGCAACCTGTTTTGGACAAAATGCGCGACCTCTACGCGAAGTTGGCGACCGCGGGAATCACCTACCCTGAGCAGACCAAGTGCTTGAAGATGTTATCGCTGCTGCCGGAATCGTGGCTTCAATTCACGAGCGGATTGAGCCTGCCGCAGAACCAGAGCTTGTGGCAGCTCGAGTGGGTGCGGACGAAGATTCTGGAGGAGGACTTTCGTCGCCGCCAACTGAGGGGTGGAGACCACGGCAGCAGTGGTTACGGGATGCAAGGGAGAAAACGTGGCAGAGGATGTGGCTTCGGTGGTGCTGGACCCGGTGCAAAGAAGGACGACGACTCCAACGACCAACAAGGAGGTACCGGTTGGGGTCGCGGTGCGAAATCTGGACGTGGGGGCAAGTCGGGTGCTGGTGGCAAAATGAAAGGGAGTTGCTGGTATTGTTAGAAGGAGGGGCACCCCTGGTTTTTGTGCTATAAGAAACCCGATGGATGGACCCCACACAATCGTCACCAGGATGGCGGCGCGCGGAGGAACCAGAAAAACGGCGCGAACATGGTCGCCGATTCGTCCAACAACAACCCGAAGAGCAACGGCGGTGCAGAGAAGATGAAGGAGCGCACTGCAGGCCAGTTCTTCCATATTGGAGAGCAGGGGGGCAAGGAGACGCCTCTGCAAAGGTTGGAGCAGAGCTGCATCCCCTGGACTATTGGGTGTTGGACACGGGCGCTGCTTGGACGATGACGCCGCGCAAGAAGCTGCTTGATGACGTACGAGCTGCACCGATCAATGGGGTGTGCTCTGCCTCTGGACACGCGCTGAAGGTGGCTGGTGCGGGACGAGCTGCATTCAAGGGAGCGGATGGCAAGCCGGTGGTGCTGCACGACGTTCTCCTTGTTCCTGATCTCAAGGCCAACCTCATCTCCCTCCGTAAGCTTGCCAAGGCTGGGGTGAGCACTAGCACGGATGGGGCACGCACGTACAAGGGGCAGCTGGGAAATCGGGTGCTTTGGGATCTGCACGAGAGCAAGGATGTGTACAGATCCATGTGGCAGCTACCGGCGTTGGAGTGGAACGGTGGGGGGCAGGCTGGAGAGGGGTCTGCATCCCAGGGGGAGTGCAACGCCGTTGGAAGGGTTGGTGTGAAGGTGTCGGCCAGATCTGGGGAGACAGATTGGGCAACGGCCCACTGACGCTTGGGGCATGTGGCAATACCCTTATTGAAGCAGCTAGAGAAGGATGGAGCCGTCAAGGGTTTGAAGCTGAACGGAGAGCCACCCGATGACAACTGTGAAATCTGTTTGCTCTCAAAATTCACTCGTATCCCTTTTCATAGCGTGACTGGCAGGAGCAAGAAGCCTTTGGAGCTGGTTCACATGGACCTGGTGGGGCCGCTGCCGATGCAAGGGCACAAGGGGGAGCGGTATTTCCTAACCATTGTGGATGATTGGAGCAGACTCATATGGGCGTATCCGCTGAAGCAAAAGGACCACGCCGCCTCTACGATAAAGGAAGATTGGCTGCCATTCGTTGAGAAGCAAGCGGAGTGTGTAGTGAAGCGGATTAGGACAGACCGGGGTGGTGAGTTCCTTCGAGCTGAAACGACGGCCTGGCTCAAGAAGCAGGGCATTCAGAGGGAGCTGACCACGGCTTACTCTCCGCAGTCCAACGGTGTAGCAGAACGGGCGAACCGGACCATTCTGGAGACAGCTAGGGCGCTGCTCATAGAATCAGGGGTGGGCAATTCCATGTGGCCCCATGCTGTCCGGCACGCTACCGTGGCTAGGAACAGGGTGCTCACTAAGGTTGGTAATGAATCGTGGGTGCCGCTGGAGAGGTGGCTTGGGAGGAAGCCGCCGGTGGATATGCTGAGGGTGTTCGGTTGCGTGGCAGTCGCCCACGTCCCCAAGAAGTATCGAAGTAAGTTGGGGGCGAGTGCAATCTGGTGTGTGCATTTGGGGCTGGCTGCTGAGAGCAAGGGATGGCTGCTGTGGGAACCATCCAAGGGTGTGTTGTTTGACAGCAGGGATGTGAAGTTTGTTGAGGGCATGATGTATGGGGGATGGAAGAAACAGCCGGAGACCAAGGTATCCGAGCAGATGGAGCAGATCACCATGCAGCTGGACCTGACTCCTAGTGTGTGGGAGGAGGGGGAGGAGGCAGCTGCAGAGGGTGGCGATGGAGAGAAGGTGCAGGAGGCACCTGGTGGTGGAGGAGATGATGTGGAGACTAGTGATAGCACCGAGGAAGCTGCTGGATCTGAGGGAGGAGAACAGCAGCTGGGAAAAGCTAAGGTTCCTGTGCTACCATCAAGGAGGAAGCCGAAGGGTGTCGTTATGAGGGGATGGGAGACACCCGTCTCCAGGCCAGGACGTACCCGTATGGCCACTATAAAGCTGACTGCAGGAGCTGATGTTGCAGAGCAGCAGCTTGGGAATGAGGAGGCATTGCTGATTCTACCGCATGGCTATGACCCGGATGAGGAGGATGAACCTGCCTACTGTTTTCTTGCCCCTGCACCAGAGGAACCAGCAAGCATGGAGGAGGCATTAGCTGGACCAGATAGGAAGAAGTGGCTGGTTTCTAGGGATGCTGAGTACCAAAGCTTGCTAGAGAATGGGACATGGGATCTGGTGGTGCTGCCTGAGGGGAAGAAAGTCGTACAGTGCAAGTGGGTGCTAAGGATCAAGACCGATGACAAGGGACAGGTCACCATCTACAAGAGTAGGCTGGTGGCTAAGGGGTTTATGCAGAAGGAGAAGCAGGACTTCGATGAGATCTTTGCTCCCACTGCCAAATCCCCTATCCTCCGTGTCTTGTTGGCAGATGCAGCCGTTAGTGGGAAATCCATCATTCAGATGAATATATCAACGGCATTCCTCAATGGGATTTTAGAGGAGGATGTGTACATGACGCAGCCGCCTGGGTATGAGGATGGTACGGGCAGGGTGTGCAAGCTGAAAAAGTCAATCTACGGCTTGAAGCAGGCGCCACGCTGCTGGTACTAGAAGTTGGCAGCTGTTTTAGAGGAGATGGGATTCAAGACCAACAGCTGTGATGAGAGCCTCTTTCTCAAGGAGGAGGGGGAGAAGCTGGTGCTGTTTCTGGTCTACGTGGACGACATTCTTCTCTTCAGCAGCAGCATGAAGGAGATCCAGAAAGTGCAGCAGCAGCTGATGAAGAAATTCAAGTGCAAGACCCTTGGGGAGGTAAAGTACTACCTCGGGATGCACGTGGAGAGGGATCTGGATCACAGGTGGTTGAAGCTGCACCAGGAGAAGTTCATCAAGGAGCTGGGGGAGAAGTATGGGATTGAGAATGAACGCGAGGTTGCAACTCCCCTGCCAGCAGAATTCAAGCTTGTGAAGGCAGCAGAGGATGAAGGGGTTAAAGCCGAGGAGCAGCAGCAATTTCAGTCCTTGGTGGGTAGCCTCTTGTATGCCGTGGTTCATACAAGGCCCGACATCTCTTTCTCGGTTGGGCAGCTGGCTAGGGTGGTGCAGAATCCATCAGAGGAGCAGGTGGATGCAGCTGAGCGTGTGGTGAAGTACCTGAACTCTCACCCAAACATTGGAGTTCAATACTCCGCATCTGCACAGGTGAAGCAGAAAGGGGTTGAGGTGCTGAAAGAGAAGGGGGAGCGGCTTGGAGAAGGCAAGCTGTTTCTCACTTGCTTTACCGATGTACGTGGGCTTCTGAGAAGGACGATTCCTCATCTGTGGGAGGATACATCTGCGTAGTTGGGGGAGGACCTGTTAGTTGGAGGTCCAAGAAGCAGACGGAGACGGCACTCTCCTCTGTTGAATCAGAGTACATGGCAATGTTCCATGGGGGCTCTTGGGATGGCCAGGAACGCAGTGCTTCATGGGTTGAACAAGCACATGCGTATCAAGTGGCACTGTCTGCGTAAGGAGGTGAAGAGGGGGACTGTGAATCCGATCTATATCAAGACTCACCAGCAGCCAGCAGACTTCCTCACCAAGAGGCTTGCGGATGAGCCTCATTGGCGTTGTGTGCGCATGAGTGGAATGAGCATGAACTAGCATGGAATGATGTGGAATGCAGCCGGCAGGCTGAGGGGGAGTGTGTTGGGTGCAAATTCACATTGCACGACATCCTACCGTCTGTTTGTACGAATATGCGTGTGCGAATGCATTTGGGTGTGAATGGAATGTTCGTGTGTTTGTTTGTTTTCGCAATTTTCGCTTGATGCATTTGCAGGTACTCGCGCAATGTGCGCTTCGGCACAACATTGTACGCGCTATGAATAGTGCAAGCAGAAAGGACGAGCTCGCAAAGGAACCCAAGATGGAAGCTTTGCAGTTCGGTTTAATTGATTGCGCAGATTCAGTTCTATCCAACTCGAACTTGTACTGTTTTGTTTGGTTGACTATAGTGTAGCAGGGCAGGCACTATAGGGGTACAATTTAGGTGAAGGTTGGATGTTGTTTGTCTGTATCTCCATGCTACAGGGCCAGGGTAAACTAGCGGAACCAACATTTGGCTGGTTGGGCAAAGACAAAACAGGTTCTGTTTTTAGGACCTGAACCTGGTTGTAGTTTTCCCAGGTTGGAAAAACAGAACCAGAGGTTGTTTACCAACCTACCACCTGCTGTTTTGTCCAGCCAGGCTGGTTCTGTTGCTTGGAATTATTTGGGATCATCCCTAGTTGTTCCCAGGTTGATTCCCAAGGTCCTTGCTAGCTAGAACTATATATTCCTTCTCTGTTTGTACCTGAATATATTCAATTTGATTCAAGCGAATTCCTTCCTTGCTGGAACTTCCTTTTCTATGCGGTGCGACGGCGGAATGCTACTGAGTCAACACTAGTACGCTAGCACCTCAACGCTAGGCAAACGCTGTCCGAGCCATAACTCTGCAATGGCAGAACTTTTCGCGAGACAACTTGGCTCTTTTGAAAGCTCTTAGGGTGAGCTTCGATATAGCGAGTTCTCAGCTTAATCCGATCGACGGTCTGCACGGCACGCTGCGCAATGTTCAAGGTACTCTTGCTGTTTTGACTAAGTCCCTCTAGATCCCTCTCTACAAACTCGGACCCGAGGATAGGGGCTGGTCTTGTACCAAGCACCCAGGGACCCTTGGAGGTGACCCCGAGGAGAGGTTTTAAGTTGGATAACGTCTTAATAGCCTGAGTTTATTAGGCCCTTACACCAACACTAAGGTCTACGGGGCCAGGCGCGCGGGCTAGGGGTCGACGGGGCCGGGCGCGCTGGCTAGGGGTCAACGGGGCCGGGTGCGCGGGCTAGGGGTCGACGGGCCGGGCGCAGGCTAGGGGTCGACGGGGCCGGGCGCAAGGGCTAGGGGTCGACGGGGCTGGGGCGCGGGCTAGGGGTCGACGGGCCGGGGCGCGGGCTAGGGGTCGACGGGGCCGGGCGCGGGGGCTAGGGATCGACGGGCCGGGCGCGCGGGCTAGGGGTCGACGGGCCGGAGCGCGGGCTAGGGGTCGACAGGGCCGGGCGCGGGGGCTAGCGGTCGACGGGGCCGGGGCGCGGGCTAGGGGTCGACGGGCTTAGGCGCGGGCTAGGGGTCGACGGGGCCGGGCGCTAGGGCTAGGGGTCGACGGGTCCGGGGCGCGGGCTAGGGGTCAACGGGCTGGGGCGCGGGCTAGGGGTCAACGGGGCCGGGCGCCAGGGCTAGGGTTCGACGGGGTCGGGGCGCGGGCTAGGGGTCGACGGGCCGGGGCGCGGGCTAGGGGTCGACGGGGTCGGGCGTGCGGGCTAGGGGTCGATGGGGCCGCGGCACGGGCTAGGGGTCGACGCGGGCTAGGGGCAAAGGGCCAGGACGACGGGCCTAGGGGCGCTCTGACTAGGGCCTACGGGCCGGGCTAGGAGCGACGGGCCTAGAGGCGACGGGCCAAGGGGCGACACGAGGGTCGCTAGGAGCAGTGCAGTGGTGGGCCCAAGGAAAAAAAAAAACGGTCCTAGCGGAGGACCTGCTCTGAAACCATGTCAAGAGGATGAACGAGAATGAATGAACTATGAAACAGTTGGGTACAAGTACTAACCCTAATTGGGTTGTACCCCTTATGGGCTACCCCACTATAGCCTACACAATATAAGCTATACAACATTTTGACAGCATTTACTCTTAGTACCAACCATAAGGGTACTTAGGGCACTTCTTTTAGTACCAACCATAAGAGTAAGTAACGCACTTACTCTTAGTACCACCCATAAGGGTAAGTAACGCACTTACTCTTAATACCAACCATAAGGATAACTAACGCTATTACTCTTAGTTCCAATAATATGGGTACGTAACGTACTTACAGTTAATACCAACTGCATGGGTAAATAACTCACCTACTCTTAGTACCAACCATAGGAGTAAGTAAAGAACTTATTCTTAGTACAAACCATATAGGTAAGTAACGTAGTTACACTTAGTACCAGCCACATGGGAAAGCAACGCACATACTTTTGGTTCAACCACATGTGTAAATTACGCACCTACTCTTACTACTTATGATAAGGGAAAGTAACGCACTTACTATCCTAGCTATCAAAACAGTAGTACCAACCCATAAATAGCTCTAGCTATCAAGGATCTTGGGAATCCTCCTAGGAACAACCAGGGATGATCCCAAATAATTCCAAGCAACAGAACCAACCTGCCGGGACAAATAGCAGGTGGTAGGTTGGTTGACAATTCTGGTTCTGTTCTTCCAACCTGGAAAAACAACAAACAAGGTCAGGTCCTAAAAACAGAACCTGTTTTGTCCTTGCCCAACCAACCAAGTTGTGGTTCCCCTGGTTTCCCTTGACCCTGTAGCATGCAAATACAGACAAACAACATCTGTCTTTCACTAATTGTACCCCTGGTACACTATAGTTTACCAAACAAAGTAGTACAATTCCGAGTTGGATAAAACTGAATCGGCGCAGTCAAAGGAACCAAACTGTAAAGCTTCCACTTTGGGTTCCTTTGCGAGCTCATCCTTTCTGCTTGCACTGGTTATAGCGCGTACAATGTTGTGCTGAAGCGCACATTGCACAAGTACCTGCAAATGCATCAAGCAAAAATTGCGAAAGCAAACAAACACACGAACATACCATTCATACGCAAATGCATTCGCACACGCATGCTCGTACAATCAGACGGCAGGATATCGTGCAAAGTGAATTTGCACCGAACATAATTAACGCGCTGACTCTTATTTATTACCACTTGGGTAAGCATTGTACTGGTACCAAACATAAGGGTAAGTAACGCACCTACTCTTAGTACCAACCAGATAGATATTTAACGCACCTACTTTCAGTTCAAACCACATGGGTACGCAACGCACTTACTCTTAGTACCAAACATAAGGGAAAGTATTGCACTTAATCTTAGTACCACCCACTTGGGTAAATAATGCACTTACTCTTAGTACTATCCATATAGATAATTAACACACTTACTGTTAGTTCCAACCACATGGATAAGCAACACACCCACTCCTAGTACCAAACATAAGGATAAGTACACACTTACTCCTAGTTCCAACAACATGGGTAAGTAACGCACTTACTCTTAATACCAACTATCTGCGTAAATTACCCACTTTCTCTTAGTAGCAACCATAGGGGTAAGTAACGAACTTACACCTAATACAAACTATATAGGTAACCACATGGGAAAGCAACGCACCTACTTTTGGTTCAACCATATGGTTCATTTACGCACCTAGTCTTACTAATAATCATATGTGTAGGTAGCATTGTGCATTTCCTCTTAGTACCACACATATGGTAAGTAATGCGCTTACTCTTAGTACCAACCATATGGGTAAGTAATGAGACTTACACTTTGTACAAACCCCATGTGTAAGTAACGCACTTACTCGAAATACCAAACATAGGGATAAGAGCGCACTTACTGTTAGTACCAACCACATGGGTAAGTAACGTACTTACTCTAAGTACCAACCATCATATAGATAATGAACACACTTATTCTTAGTTCCAACCACATGGATACTTTATGCACTAACTCTTGATACCAACCACATGGGAAAGCATCGCACATACTTTTGGTTCAACCACATGGGAAAATAACGCACCTATTCTTACTACTAATCTTATGGGTAAGTAACGGACTTACTCTTAGTACCACTACATGGATAACTAACGCATTTACTTGTAGTAGCAACCATATTGGTAAGTAATATACTTAATCCTATTACCACCGACATGGGTAAGTAACACACTTACTCTTACTAGCACGCATTTAGGTAAGTAACGTTTATACTCGTAGTTCCAACCACATTAGTAAGTAACGCACATACTCCTATTACCAACCTTAAGGGTAAGTAATGCACTTAATCTTAGTACCAACCATAAGGGAAAGTAACGAACTTACTCTTAGTACCACCTATCTAGGTAAGTAACGCACTTAATTTTAGTAACAACTATAAGGGTAAGTAACGAACGTACTTTTAGTACCAACCATATTGGTAAGTAACACACTTACTCTTAGTACCAACCATATAGGTAAGTAATGCACTTACTCTTAGTAATAACGTACTTACTCTTGATATTAACACACTTACTCTTTGTATCAACCAGTAAGTAACTGTCGGAAACCCACTCATCTCCCTTCCGTGCAGTCTCCTGTGGCTCTCCTGATTCTAGGACCTCACTCTACTACCGGTGTGGACTGATGCACCTCTGCAGCCTCTCTTTCCCCTCTTTTCGTTCCTCCTCTCTCCTTCTAGTTCCCCATGCTATGCCTACAG